AACCTTGGCAACTTTAAGACGGGTGGACTTCAACTCCCAGAATTCCCCAGCCAGCATATGCCTGTCCACCCGTCTTAAAGTCACCAAGGTTGAGAAACCCTGCCTTAGTCAAGAAGAAGAATAAATAAAGGCAACTAACTGGGAAGAAGTCAGTGGGGGCCTTCACACCACCTGCAAAGTTGGATTCATGTTAAAAGGGGGGGGTCTGTGATGGATTGGGGTGTTTGAATCCAGCCCTCTTGGTTCGCTGAGAGTACAGTTGATGGCGGGGAAGTGGAACATGGGTTAACTGGTTCTGTGCGAAGGCAGCTTCTCTGTGGATGTGTGGGCTAAGGCCAGGTTTAACTGGTTTATTTGTGGCTGGCTGGATTTGCTGACCAGCCTGAACCACGGTTCACGATCGGAGCTCCTGGGTTGGCCTGATCTCCTGAACTGTCAGCTAACCCGAGGCAATCTGGGGGTCACTTCGGCCCCCAGAATGCTCAGCAGCTCCCAGGATTTTTGGCTAGCCGGGGAATTCTGGGAGCTGAAATCCAAACCCTTGGGATTGGTCCAAGGATGGTGAGGCTAGAAGCCATCGACCTCTGGAAGCCGGCAAGTTCACTGTTGCCCCGTAATCCCCGTCCTTTGCTTCTGACCGAGAAGCCAGGCGCTTCAGGGTGGCAGGATATGTCTTCTGGGTTGTTAATCCTTTGCCAGTTTTTTTTTTTTAAGAAATCCTCTGTCACTGAATTTGAATTTCCCTCTGGCGGTGACCCCAAGAGGGATTAGGGAGAGGGTGCTGGACCAGTGGGATGGGGACTCATCCGGGGCCCAGGAAGACCTACAAATGTTAGAGAGGCTCCTAACGTTTGGCACACCACATTCTTTACATTACTTGGCAAGTCGCACTGGCCTTAACTTAGGACTCTGTAATTAGCATCTAATTAATCACGCTGGCAGCCCGGTGCAGGTTTCTACCATAGATTCCAGCCCGGTGAGTCGAGAGGCAAATTCCAGCGGGCTTCCCCGTGCCTTGCTTTCTGTAGCCGCCCAGAATGCTCCCAAACGCAAAACAGCGCATGTTAATGCTCACGTTAGCTGGGGCGGCGAAGAACATTAGTTGAGAAGGACAAAGGAAAAACCAAGCCAGATTTAAATCTTGCCTTTCTTTGGGAAACTTGAGGCAGAGGGCGTTGTTTCCCTCTGTTGACCTCCCCTCATCCTCCTACCCGCCCTGTGAGGTAGGCTGGGTGGAGAGAGAGCACAAGGGGAAGTCAATTGTCCCCAAGATCTTTGGGTGGCTGAGTGGGGCTTTGAACCAAGGTCTCTGGACCTCTGCTTTGTGCCTGACTGCCCTGTCGAAATGTAGACTCTAAGTCCTTTGGGGCATGGACCTGCCGGTCTGGCACGTGCTGCTTGTGACGGGTGACGTCTTGTGTGTCGCTGAGAAAGTGGGAACAATGCAGGGGGGAGTGTCTGGGCCCCCCAAAAGCAAGGATGCTGTTTAGCCCACCACCTTGATTTTTCTCTCCTTTAAATTTGTACTTGGTATTTTGCTCTTAAAGGGAGGGAAAGCGGGAAGGTTTGAGTGGGACACTGTTTACAGTGGCCTCCAGGTGTTTGACTCCCACGCGGATCTTTCGCTTCGCTGGTGTGGCCAGAAGAGGGGGGTGATGGGAGTTGTAGTCCACCTCCCCTACAGGGTGCCAGATCAGGGAAGCAGCTGTTTTGTACTGCCTAGTGGGGAGAAGGGGAGCGAGAGAGTTTGTGTCCGGAAAGAAATTGGGGGGTCCAAGAATTGTGCTCTCTTTGGAGCATTTGCTCAAGGTTCCTCTTTGCACAACCCTTTTCCTGGGTTCCCATGCTGGCTGGGGAATTCTGGGAGATGAAGTCCACACAACTTAAAGTGGCTGAGGTTGAGAAACACTGGCTTACAGTCTCATAGCAGGGCAGATTTCAACGGGGGAGCCCCTACTAGTTATTGGGAAAGCTGTTACAAAATTTTTGGCTTCCTGCCACACAGTTCTTAAGGACAAAGGAATAAGCTTGGGGCATTCCCAATCTCTGGACTACAGTTCCCACAGTCCTTTGCCTCTGGCCAGAAAAAATGGGACCGCTTGGATTTAAAGTCCAAAACATTTGGGAGGCATCAAATTGCTAACTCCAATTAAAGTTCTGAGAATGGTGTGGTTAAATTTCTTCCCCCTCCCCCCAGAAATCTTGGGAAAAGAAAGGAAATGTGATGGAATATGACCCCCGATTATCTGCATGACAGACAAAATAGGGCTTCTGAGAACGTGCAGAGCTGAGTGGTCTCAGACTGTTTTTAAGGCTTCTGCTGTTAACTACCACAAACATGTGTTTTGGGGAAAGCTGGTGTTCCTGCAGCTCTTTAGTATGGAATGCAACGCAATTTTATTTTTGGCACAAAATGTTACCTATTCGTTTTAATTAAAAAGGGAACTTAAAAAGAAAAGAACAAGAAATCTGCTGACAAATTTGACAGGCCCATGCCTTGCCAGTTCACTTCAGGCTCCTTAGTCTAAACGAAAGTGAAATGTAATACTAATTCTGGGCAAAGAATGCTGTTGGATTGTGGGAGAGGTCTTTTATTTCTAAATTTGACACCAGCAGAATCTTCTTCTGCTATGTATTCCTGAAACTTCAGCTTTGGTTCAGGAAATTGTGCTGTTGTGTTTTTTTTTAAATCCACAGATCAGCTGTTGCCCAACTATCGATCAGCCTTTTGCTGGTTGCTGATCAGCCCTTTAGCAGCGGACTCGCTCAATTCCAGGTTGCCTCTCATTTCGGCGCTAGTTATGCTGAGTTGTTCTTTCTTTTTACAACGGAGTTGAGAAGAATGGGAAGTCTTTGTAATTTTCTTTGGATTAGTTTAAGGGCAATTGCAACATGTAGCCTCCCACTCCACCTTTTTTGAGGCAGGTGACGGGAGCTTGAAATGTGGCGCCGGCCCGGAAACACTTAATTAACTCTCTGGGCTGGGTCACACTTTCCAATAACATCCCGGTGAACCGGTTCTAGACTGTTTACTGCTATTACAGCTGGCGTTGGGTAGTTATATTGTCAGGAGGAAAGCAGAAGGAGGGGACGGGTTATGCTAGGGGGAGGAGAGGGATAGAACCCCGTGTTTGTTCCAGTTGCAGTCATGAGGACTAGTATTCTGACCAGTGTTGTGAAACTATCCTTTTGCTCAACGACTCTTGTTTTGCACTTGCCTAATTTCTTCTAGAAGTTCATCTCCGTTCTGTACTGTTTTTTTGTAGCCTGGATAGGAGCCAGCTCCGAGAGGTAGCTGCGAAAAAAAACCCCGAATGTGGGTTTTGGTAGTGTTCCTAGAGTCACGTTTTCTGAGTCATGAAAAGTAATGGTGCCACTTAATTCTGGTCTGGTCAGATATGATCTGGAGCACCGTCTCTCCTGCGTTGGAGGAGAACCCTGGAGCCTGGAGAAAAGTGATTAAGGAGGGCTTTAGAAAACTTTCCGGAAAAGGAAGTCTGGTAGCACGCAGCGGTTGCCTTCACACAACTTGCTAGACCGGGCTAAAATGGAGTTGGGTTCTTTGCGGTTTGGTGTATTGTAGGAACGCAGGGGTTGTCTTTGACCATGACAATAAGCGTAACCCGGTTTGCGGATTAGGACATTCCGGCCATCGGATTTTGTAGGACCTGAGAAATCTGGATAAAATTTAACTGATTGAAATGACAAGTTGGTTGCGCGTTAAGGGAAATCTTTTCTCAGCAGCAGGACTCGCCCAAAGCCTAAAAGCGTGGGGGGTTCTTTGGGGCACAGCGGGTTGCGTGAACCCAGCCTCTAAGTTTGCAAGCTACGCTTTATGCTTGGCTAGACATTCAGCTCATCCCAACGGGGTTTAATCGCAGTTCAGTCATGGCTTAGCGTGAGGGTTGAACCCAGCCAGCCAGAGCCGTTCCACGGGTGACCCAGCGAGCCGTGGAAATCTTTCTGGAGGTCTTCAAGCCACAGGCCAGCTCGAGTCCTAGTTCCGATTTTCCCGCAGGGGGTCGTCTATGGACCTCTAGGAACCCCACCCACTTTTCACCTTCTCTTTTTCTCTTCTCCAGTCGCCCTGGGCGGATATGCCCTCTGGAAAGACCCCGAGCCTTCGGTCGCCGAGCCGCCATCGTTCCCGATGCCCCTGGACATGACGGTGCGCAACTCTGTCTACACGGCGGCTCAGCCCCAGTGCACGGCTCACGTCTCCAGCGGGGTGCAGCCAGAGACTGAGTCTGACTTCGCGCACGCCAAGGTCAAGGTATGACCGGCCGTTCGCTCCCCGGCTTCTCTCGAGCTTCGATGGGGTTCCCAGGCAGGAGGGTGTCGTGCACTTAAAAACAAAGAGCGATAATGAAAAAGGTGTGGTGCCTCTGAAAAGCCACTCCTAGACTGCGCTTGATTAAATCAGGGGTGGGGGCCAGATAAGGGGAAGGAAGTTCTCTTAATCATATTTAAAAAGCCTCCAGGGCCTTGGGCGCATGATGGCATTTGTGGGCGCCCTCACAAAATGGCAGCCGTGCCAAACACCGACTCCTCTCGAGCTTCCCGGCATTTGCCCGTTTATTTTCTAAGACGTTTCTCAGATCAGATGGGAGACATTTTCTGCTTGTCTCGAGTGCGCTGGGTTTTCCTTTTTCCTCTTTGTATTTTCCATTAAAAGAGTGGAATAAAATGGCGTCAGGAGGGGCAAGGGACCAGCAGACCCTGAATGAGGAATGGTCGGGCTCGTTCGGGTTGGTTGGAGTCCTGTCGCGGACCAAGGCGTGCAAAAGCACTTAACTTAGAAAACGAAGCGAGGCTGTGAAAATTCCTCACTCGACAACTCAGTTCTGGTCCGACGTCTCCGTGGACTCAACAAAGTGCAGTTTTATGGCTCGGCTCACCTGACGTCCTTCCCTCGCTCGTTGTGTTCACACAACCCCGTTAAGCCGGGTTTGGGCTAACCTCGGCTCATATGGTTTGGTGGGTTACTGTGTTGGGCAAAACCAGCGTGGTTTGGGGTAGACTCAGGACGGGCTGTGGTGAGAAAGTCGATATTTGCTTCTCACAGAGGGCGTGGATGATGGGCGCCGGGGAGCCCTCTGCCAGGCCGGCACGGGGTCCCTTCTGAAAACATTTAGAAACCTTCGACTCCGACTCCTTTATGCATGGTACCCCTGACTCCTTGAATTATATATCAATATAGGAAATAAATTATAAATATACTAATGATATATTTCCTGTATTGACTGCAAGCATGCAACATATAAGGCAGTGTTGTCCAAACTTGGCTAATTAAGATGAGTGGACTTCAAATCCCAGAATTTCCCAGCCAGCATGGTT